TCCTTATTTTAATTGTAGTATAATATACCCACAAACCCTACAGGCGTACAGTTTAGGGCTTAGGGTTGAGGGTTATTAACAGGTTTAGGGTTATTAACAGGTTTAGGGTTTAGGGGTATAACATAGGGGCCTTCATGATTATTATAGGATTTTGGGGGCTCCTTGTTCAATTATAGTATAAAAAACCCACAAATCCTATTCTACTTAGTAAGGCCCCCCCTATATTAGCAGGTTTAGGGATTAGGGTTTGCTATGTTCTCTCCTTGTTTGTCTATCCCTGTCAAAGAACCCGAAAACCAAAGCCCAGGACGCAAATCCGCAAAGAAGCCCAGAAACCAGAAACCGAAAACCGCAAGACAAGACCCTGAACCCTGAACCGTAAATAATCTTAGACATGAGAAGCCCCCAGCGAAAATCCCTACAAGTTTGTCTGCCACACAACAACTGATTAAACTTACAATGCAAAACCCATGAAACATTACATATTCTGCAAACAACAACATAAAAATCGTACGAAAACCCCACACCCTGAACCCTAAACCCTAAACCCTAAACCCTGAACCCTGAACCCTAAACCCTAAACCCTGAACCCTAAACCCTAAACCACACACCCGAAGCCACGCCTGCTCGTAGACACTTCTCAATGCCTTGGCCAAGCCCGAGCCTGTTGGCCTGTTGCCCAGAGCTCTTGGGGCTTAGGTTTTCGGGGTTTCGGAGGGTTTTGGGGTTTAGGGTTTCGGGGGCCTAAATAATTACCGAATAGTTATAGTCTAAAGGACCCGAATACCCTATTCTAGTTATTATGGCCCCTATACTAGGTTCTCGGGTTCGGGGTTTCGGGTTTGGGGTTTGAGGTTTGGGGTTTAGGGTTTTGGGTTTGGGGTTTAGGTTTTCGGGTTCGGGGTTTGGAGTTTGGGGTTTAGGGTTTGGGATTTAGGGTTTGGGGTTTGGGGTTTAGGGCTTTAGGGTTTCGGATGGCTTCGGGAGGGTTTCATGAAGGCTGTTCGCATGCTTGCCATCCTCTGGACATCTCTTTACCAGCTCACCCAGAGAGCCCAAGACCCCTTAATTAAGGAACAAAACCTTAAATTATCGGGGCCTTAGTAGTATGATTTAACCTATATTCCTTAATTCCCCTAAACCCTAAACCCCTTATAGATCCTTTTAAGGAGCCCCTTTAAGGTAGGTACATTTTCCTTCATTCAAGGCTCTCTGGGCACTCAAACCGCCCCGGGGATCTGAAAGACGGCTCGGTGCTCTAGCAACTGCAAGGACTAAGGACTAGACCAATATAGGGGCCTGAACAATTGAATAGGGTTTTGGGGTATATTATACTATAATTAGAATAAGGAACCCTGAAGAATTAGAATAGGGTTTTGAGGGTTCCTTATTATGATTATAGTATAATATACCCCAAAACCCTCTTCTAGTTGTTAAGGCCCCCACATTTGACTAGGCGTCCCTCATTCAGGCCGGATCCTCCAGTCTTCGTAGCTCCCAAGCTCACACTGCGCTGGATATCGAGGGTGCCACTATCTTCCACAATGGAGGGAACGATACGTCGCCTGTTCTTGCTCGGAGCGATCATCTTGATACCAGAAGACTTCGAAGAACTTCATCCGGCATTCCGGGATTTCGTGGAGCACCCAAGGGCCTGCTATCTTGAAGAAGCCCCGGTCACTCCAATCTGGGCCCCAGGAGTTCATCAACGTCATGTAGTTGTCATCGTCCCTGACGTACGTGACGACGTGACCTACCTCGTCGTCGCCAGGGTCAGGGGCATCGTCGTCATCGTCGTTGAGCGGTCGTTGAATGTGCTTCCTTTGCAAAACTCCACGTCTTCGTCTGCGAAAAAAATCGTCGAAGTTGTACCATCCTCGAGCTGATAGATTGAAGGATGCAACTACTGCGCGACCTTGCCTTACTGCTTCACGAGCTTCTTGAAATCGCACGTCCAAAGCGCAAGCCGTAATTTCTACAAACATATCGCAACACATCTCGTGTGGGGGGATGGTCACGACCTTCAAACTTGCGAGTGATGTCGTCGCGAATGTCCTGGAAATCTGGGTAGCCACCGTCGCGACCAACGATCCGCAACAGTGCGGAGTGAGTTGCAGATGCGATAGCATGGGAATAGCACGTCTTACTTTCCCCTTGATCAGGTGCTGGCACAAACTTCATGTTCAGCTGGTGTCTGAGGAAGTTTGAATATTGCCTGGATGTCCGAGTAGGCTGGGCAAGGTCGCGTAGATGGTGCCTGAGGATTTGCTTCGGCTGTTTTTGGGACAGCCCTTGTGTGCAGGACACATGAGCTTCGGTCAGACTTCGCATGTTGCGCACTGCAAGGTGTAGGGAGGCCGCGCCAGACAGACTTCGGAAGCATCCGTCGAGGCGCTTGCACCAGGAGAGAGCCATGGAAAAGACAGGCATGAGAATCACTAAACCCTCAACCCTAAACCCTAAACCCTAAACCCTAAACCCTTAAACTGGCAGAGAGCCATGGAAAAGACGGGTCTTCAGATTAGAATCTGCAGTTCTCTCCACAGGCTTGGGCCGAGCTGAAGCAGAGAATGTCGGGGCCTTAATAATTAGAACTGGGTGTTGGGGTATATTCTACTATAAGTATACTTAAGACTAGGTAATTATGTAAGCTTCTATATTAATGATGTGGTATATTATGCCAAATTATGCCTTCTCTTTTCTACTATATTGTTCGTGTCATTAGCAACTTCGGGTCCAGGGTTTCAGTTTGATGGCAGGTGCCAAAGCTGTCCACTGAGCAAGTTTGACATCTCAGCCACAAGAATTATTGCGCTGTGCTAGGGTCAAGGGGGCACGGTTGTTTACAATTGGGCCTAGGGTTTTAGGGGAACGGGGCGTTAAGGCCGTTAAGGGCTTTACAGTACAGGTACGGGATGTGCGACTTTCCAATGGGGTTTAAGCTAGAGGTGTACAAGGAGTACGGTTGGGCGCTTCGTGCTAGCACCACCTCCGAACCCATACTCCTGAAAAGAACTGAAGCTATGATAAGGTTGATTTTTGGAGGTTGTGTATATCAAACTGCAGCACCTTACTGAAAGCCCTAGTCTTCAAGACGACTGTGCCTGGCCAGAGGTTGGCAAATCCTACAGTGTAGCCCAACCGCCACAGGTATGCAACAACAGCTGTACTATTCACGGTTTAGGGTTTAGGGTTTAGGATTTAGGGGTTTAGGGTTTAGGGTTTAGGGCCAACCAGACCAAATCCCTGAACCCTTTAAACCCTCAACCAGAGTTGCAACCAGAGGACTGCCTCCACAACATGACTCTCATGCTACTCCCGCCTCAGCACGCTCTGTAGCTCCTCCAGCTCAAGGCCAGGAACGGCGGCGTACGCGCCCTAGGGTTTAGGGTTTAGGGACTCTTTAAGGTTCAAGGTTTGGGGTTGCGCGCCCTGGCGATGCAGTGCCAGTGGACGGCGGCCGTGGAGACAGGACAGCCAGGCACATGCAACTGAAGCTAAAGTCTTAGCCGCCGTTCTATTCTCATTAGTAAAGTTAGAAGAATAATTAATAGACATAATTCCTAAGAGCGGTAAAGAAGTTTTGCAGTATGGTGAGGTCATGCTCATCCCTAAACCCCTAAACCCCTAAACCCCTAAACCCCTAAACCCCTAAACCCCTAAACCCCTAAACCCCTAAGCCCCTAAACCCCTGAACCCCTAAACTCTACAATGAGGCTTCACAAACCCGAATCTGTCGAACCTGAGCCCCTCTGGTTCCTGAAGATCTTGCTCACTCTCAATTAAAGGAAACTACAGGTGGGGTATACAGGGCTTCTATAAGGCTTCTCTAAGGTATATAGACCTTCTATAAGGCTCCTATAACGGTAACTACCCACCTGAAAATGTCCTAGACTCAATCCTTGGCCCTAAACCCTAAACCCTAAACCCTTGACAAACCCTTAAACCCTAAACCCCTAAACCCTAAACCGCTCAAATGGCTCGCGCCAAGGATGTGGCGGTGGACTTGTCCAGGGAGACATAGTTCAGAATCTGAGGAGCACTTCGAGGTTCATGGGTAGTTATAAGTGGGGTTGTAAGTAAGTAACTGGTTTGGGGTTCAGGGTTTACGGTTTAGGGCTTAGAGTTTACTTGGAGGTTCATGGGTAGTTCTAAATGGGGTTATAAGTCCCCCAATATGGGTTATAACTATAGTTACCCTACTTATAAGCCCACTTATAACTACCCCTGAACCTCCAAGCAGTTCCCAGAGACTCCAACCCCCCTCAATTAAGGAACAGACCTTAAGTCACAGTAGGGTTCCTACTATTATTTCAGGCAAAGTACCTTAATTAAGGGGTTTTGGAGTCTCTGGGTTCTTCTACCCTAAATGCCCCCAACATCCGGAACACTGAACCCTCCTTGAGTTAGATGCTAGAGTTCGAGGTGCAGAGGAACCATCGAGTCCGGATGCTGGCTGTCTTGGTGGCTTTGTGATTTGGGATTTGTGGAATCTGTGCAGGTACCCCAGCCGAAATGTAGGTTTGCGGTTCAGCGGTTAAGGCTTGGGGTTTACAAATGATGCACCAGGTTGTTCATCAACTTGTGCTTGTCTGGGTCTTGTGGCTCTTCGGAATATCCCTGGCCCCCGAACCCGAAAGTGCTTTTTGGACGAGGCTTGCTAGCTTGAAGCCTTCCACAGTTCGGAGTTTGGTAAGCTATCGGTCCCACCACTGCCGGAGCCTAAGCAACTAGTCAAAGTCTTTCTTGATATTCCCAAAGGGTGTATGATATAAGACGAAGAAGGATTTGCCGAAGCCCTTCACCGCGAGCCCCCCGTCTCCGAACCACTAACGAAGAAACAGACAAATCTGTGTAATACTGAGGACATCAGTAAGCACAAAAGAAGGCATTACAACATGGGATGTTCATAAACTGACAGTGCTGACAATGACAAGAGCGACCTATCAACGGCAACGATTACTTGGTAACAGTACCAAAACCTCACCTAAGAACATCAAGCTGTAGGCCCTCAAACCCTAACCCCAAAACCTGAACTTTACTTAAAGGATCAGGGGACTTAGTAAGTAGGGTTAAAACCAAGGTAACTATACTTATAACCCCAATTAGGGGACTTATAACCTTACTTACTAAGTCCCATGAACCTCCAAGTAAGCCATGAAACGACTAAACCCTAAACCCTAAACCCAAACTTAGGCCATGAAACGCGAAGCCTAAACCGACAAATCAGGCCTGGCAAGTTCGAAGAAGGGCTTGCAAAGGGCCTGCCTTGCCGCTTAGCGCTGAAACTCTAAGCCCGAAATGCCAACCCTCTTTTTTTGGGGGTGAAGGGGGCTACTGGAATCCCCAAGAGCAGCTGGACAGAGGAGAAATTATGAACAGCAGTTCATGTTTAGGGTTTAGGGTTTAGGGAACTAAACCCTGAAAACCCAAACCCTAAAACCCTTAAACCTAAAACCCTACACCCTAAGCCTACTTCAGGAAAGAGTTCGTCATGTCGAATGGGAAGGGGGAGGAAGTCCTTGAGCCTCAAGGTGTCCACCTTTGTAGGGTTTCGGGTTTAGGGTTTCGGGTTTCGGGTTTAGGGGTTTAGGGTTTAGGGTTTAGGGTTTAGGGTTTAGGGGTTTAGGGGTGCAGAGGTTTAGGAGTGTCGGGCCTAGCGCTTTGGGCTGAGGGCCTTCGATCGCACAAGGAGTCCTTAGCGGTTTACTGTGAAGGCTCTGTGAGGGTTGCTGCGAGGGTCTAGGGTACGGGGCCTTCATAATTTGAAGGGTTCTTTTGGCTTTGGGGTACATTATCCTAAAGCACAGTACGGGACCCTAGGAGTAGTATTGCAATTATTGAGGCTCCTATGCTGGACTCCATGAACTGAGGATTTGTTTTGGGTTCAAGGGCTTGGGGCTTAGGGCTGAGTTAGTTTAGCAATACACCCTAAGCCCTGATCGTCAACGGCCTAGAGTATGCCAAACACACCCACAATCGAGACCTAAACCCTAAACCCTAAACCGCCGTTGAGGCTTGGGGTATGAGGACGGATTTCCGACACATCAAGCACGCAAAGGCTTGCTGCCTCAAAATCGGATTTTGGTGTATCATGCACAGAAAGTATAGGTTGTATGACCATCAAGGGATATTTACACACATGGTTCAGATCACGGTAGTAGTATCTGAACCTGAGGAACTACACAAACCCCCAAACCTGAACCCTAAACCCTAAACCCTACACTGAACCCCAAAACTCTAAGACTAGAGACCCGCATGCCCTTTGGCGACCCCAATCTTCGGAAAGCCCAAATGGTATGCAGAATCATTCGTAGATCGGAGCCTTGGCGCCTAACTCATCGCACATGTCCTGCATGGCGCAATGTGTCTTCGAGTCGGGGATGGGGGTTTCCGGCTTGGGACAAACCGGGCCAAAGAGCCTTCCGGGTCGGAACTTGACAGGGCTTCTGTCGGATGGGCATCTAGTCTAAGAGTGAGGTCTGAAGAATATCAAATGAGTACCCCCGTCTAGTCCCCAGATAGTCATACTAGAACAAACCCTAAACGCTATTCGAATTGTTAAGGCCACTGTTGAGTGTCCCTCAAGCATTCGTAATTACAAACTAGAGCCCAGCCCTTACAGTACCCCGTTAAAGAAAGCCTTAAAGAAACCAATGTTTTAAATCGCGCCACCAATTTTTCTCTCTCGTGGCGATAGTAATCTAGGGGCCTTCATAATTAGAATAGGGCTTCCCAGAAGTACACTACAATTTCGCAAAAAATGCAAGGGGATGCTATTAGTAAGTGACGCTATGGAAGTGAAGAGAGCCGTGTTGATGATCACAGTATCTACCAACCCCCATCATGCTGAAAAGATGGTGATCGTGTGAACAACTGTTGTGTTGACGATGATGATAATAATAATGAGTATGGTGGCCGTAATGGTGAGATGATGATGAGGAGGAGGATGATGATGATGTTGAGGAGGATGATGATGATGATGCTGCTGATGATGATGTTGATGACGATGACGATGACGATGATGATGATGAGGATGATGAGGATGATGAGGATGATGATGGCCATGAAGATCATGACGATCATGATGATCATGATGATCATGATGATCATGATGATGATGGTGATGAAGAAGTGTGAACAGCAACACTAACCCTATTGGGCAGCACAAGAAATACTGAAGCACAATCATACGACGATGGGTATCAAAGTGACCGAATGATAACTTTCAGCGAAGATGCCGACTAGTGACTAGCATCACACAAAGGAAACCCTGCACCGCCAACCCCCACACCCCCCCCCCCACCCCTTCGGCAAGAAAGACAAAAACACCCCAATCTAATCTTAAAGCCCAAACCCTAAACAGTAAACCCTAAACCTTAAGCTCTAAACAATAAACCGTAAACAGTAAACCCTAAACAAGACTCACGGAGGCTCCTGGATCGTCATCGGCCTCCTCTGAAGGGGCTCCAGGAGGCTCTCGACGAAGTCGAGGAGCAAAGCGCCAGCCTCAGGATGGCGTAATGTAGGGGCCTTAGTAATTAGAACGTTTTTTTGGGGGGGTTTCTTTTTAAAAGGATCCTTAAAGGGTTCTATAAGGGCCACTATAAGGGTTTAGGGTTTAGGGGCCTTAATAACTAAGTTAGGGTTTTGGGGTATATAGTACAAGAATCAGAGTAAGGAACCCCTGAACTAACATAGGTAATTCTTCAGGCCCCTACAGTGGACTTAGGGCTTTGAGGGTTAGGGTTTAGGGTCTTGGGTGTAAGGTTTAGGGCTTAGGGCTTTCAGGGTTAGGGTTTAGGACATCACTGTAGGGTGTAGGAGGCTTCAGGGTCTAGGGTCTTAGGAGGGATTCGGCTTGAGGGATTAGGAAAACTAGCACTGATGCTAGCCATAGCCAATGAGAGAGTCCGTAGAAAAAGAGATCATCAGAATTACGATGAGAAGCGTGACCCGAACACTACTTCTGCCAGCCTAAACCTCAAACGGTGATAGAACACCGAGTAATCCAAGAACCTTGAACTCTAAACTAAACCCTAAACGACTCTCGGGAGCCTAGGAGTAAGGCCCTTATGGACCGGGATGTTCTTACTCGGAGGTCTCCATTATGACGAACTCGGACCCCTGTTATAGGATTTCAGACCCTACCCGATGTTCATGGGCAGCTATAAGTGGGGTGATAAGTCCCCTAACATGGGCTGTAATAGTGATAAGAATAGTTGCCCTACTTATCACTCCAGGTTTAACTACCCTAAACCAACCCTAAACCCTAAACCCTAAACACTAGACCCTAAACCCTAAACCCATGAACCTCCAAGCACCCCTTGCAATCGGGGCCGTGGCACTAGAGCTCCAGCGCGAATAAATTCAAGGTC